TCCAATGATATGAATGGCAGTGAAAGTATCTTACCTAGCTTGTCTGATCAAGCAGCTTTATGGGAATATTTGGAAAGTATCGATTGTTTTAGTGTTGGAACTCTACCATATCGACTATCGCAATCATTTGGATTTGATGTTCCAGCAAGTACTGGTATAGAAGAAACATTACCTTTATTATTAAATGCCGTTAACGATGGAAAATTGACATTAGATGATATTAAAACGCGTCTTTACACTAATCCTCAAAGCATTTTCAATATACCGGAGCAACCAGATACCTCTGTAGAAGTAGAAATTGATCGAAAGGTATTAATGGCGCAAAAAGAAGGTGGTTGGTCACCATTTATCGGAAAGACATTATCGGGTGCAGTGAGTCGCGTAGTTTTAAGAAGGGACACTGTTTATCTCGATGGTGGTTCATACTCTACTGGTACCTGTGGCAATGACATTTCAAATTTGATTCATGTTATTGCGAAAACTCCAGCTATTAAAGAATCATTCGCAAGTAAAGAATCGTCGCAAGCTCAGCAGCAGCCACAGCAGCAGCCATCGCAGCCTGTTGTTAGTCATGTTCCGGATATTTTGTCACCTACACTTACACCGAGAGAGTTTGGTCTTAAATCAATGGCTTCTGATTTGTTTTCTCTTGATTTGCCACATGCGGTCTTACCGACGTGAGCTTATGTTTTATACAACTTTTGCATATTAGGCTTTATTGATATTATGATTAATGTATTTTGTATTTTTTAGAAGCATTACATCAAATATAAATCAAACACGTTTCTTCCGACAACATATTCTCACTGCTAAAGATTTCTCACGTAATGATCTTCACTTGTTGTTTGGTGTGGCTCACGAAATGCGTACTCTAGTTGAACGTTATGGATCAGTAAATTTACTTCAGGGTCGTGTTATGTTTACACTTTTTTTTGAACCATCTACAAGAACATCAGCTTCTTTTGAAGCGGCAATGAATAGATTAGGTGGTCGAGTGGTTGCTATCAAGACAGATTCGTCTTCAGTTACAAAGGGCGAATCGTTAGCAGATACTATACGGACGGTGGGATCATATGGGGACATTATTATTTTGAGGCATCCGGAACCCGGCAGTACTAAAACTGCAGCAAGATATTCGCCTGTTCCGATTATAAACGCAGGAGATGGCATTGGAGAACATCCTACCCAGGTATGTTCGCAACTTTGGATTTATTGATAATATATTTTATCTTTAATAATTTGTTATTAGGCTTTTCTCGACGTGTACACTATTCGAGAAGAACTTGGAACTGTTAACGGGTTAACTGTTACGTTAGTTGGTGATTTAAAAAATGGTCGAACGGTCCATAGTCTAGTTAGAGTATTATCTCAATACCAAGTTGCCCTTAATTATGTTAGTCCCACGTCATTACGTATTCCTGACGAAATCAAAACGGAAGTTCGCAAAAGAGGAATAAGACAAAAAGAATATACAGACTTAGAAAGTGTACTTGCAGAGACTGATGTACTTTATGTGACACGAATTCAACGTGAGCGATTTACAGATCCAATCGAATATGAACGGGTTAAGGATTCCTATACAATAAATAACGCTACATTGAGTCGTTCTAAACCAAACATGATTGTAATGCATCCGCTTCCACGAGTGAATGAAATTGACCCAGAGGTAGACTTTGACGATCGTGCTGTTTACTTCCGACAGATGAAGTATGGAATGTTTGTAAGGATGGCATTATTAGCAATGGTAAGTTGTTACTATACAGATTGTATATAATTTCCTTATACTAGTTCTAACATTGCCCATTTATGTCATTTGTTTAGGTTTTGGGAAGATCTGCGTGAATTAAGCTT